CCCGCAGCCTCAGCTCACCCAGTTGCTCTCCGTTTTTCCCTGAGACACGGCCCCTGGTCTTTACGTCGTCCTGCTTAGGCGCGTAACGCCAAGCCTGTGCCTTTACCGCCTGCCTGTCGGGGCCCCGGCTCCCTGCGGCACTGCTCATGCGCTGTAGGTAGGTGCCGAGGAAGACTGGGGTAGGAGCGACTCCTCCGCACGAGTAGCACGTTTTTGCTAATCTTTTAGTGTGCCTTTTCAGGATCCCCAAGTCTTGATTGCTCAGCATGCCCCTTAGAGGAGGTTGTAGCTAACGGGGGTGAGAGTTTCTCTGCTCAGGAGTTACGGTGGGAGTTTGTATTAATGGATCCATTTTCCTTTTCAGCGCTGCAGAATGGAGAACTATAAGAAGACAAAAATTGTGGAAAAACCTTGTCCTCTTCCTTTCACTGACCTGCCCCCTGATATTATTGAAATGAAAGTGAAGGACGGGAGCAAAATCAGGAATCTGATGGGCTATGCCATCGGCAAGATGGAGCTGGACTCGGTGAGGCAGATCCTCTTCACAGGCTCGGGCAAGGCCGTCAGCAAGACCATCACCTGTGTGGAAATCATGAAGCGGAGGCTCAAAGAGCTGCACCAGATCACCAAAGTGCTCTTCAAACAGATCGAAGAGATCTGGGAACCCATTGTGCCTGAGGCAGGCCTCGATGCCTTGACAGTTAAGAGAAACATTCCCGCCATATGCGTCCTGCTCAGCAAAGACGCCCTCGATCCTCAGGAGCCGGGATACCAGGCTCCGGGCTCTTTTGACGCCTTCTGGATCGAGACGCTTAAAGCGGAGTCGCAGGGCCAAATGAAGAGGAAGCAGGGTGGAGGCAGGGGAGCTGGCAGCACGGGCAAGCACCCTCGGTCCGCTGGAGGAGGGCCCGGGGAGTCCTGCGCCAAGTCCTGAGACGACAACGCCGTGTTTGGGTGTAGTTTAGGGGAGTTACGGAAACAAGCCAGCTGCTGTAGCCGGAAAGCTGCTGCTGAACACGGGGGCTTGCAGGGTTGTTAGGGAGAAGTTAGCTGCTTCAAAACGGGCGCGACCGTAGCTGCCTGAGACTGTGTTTTGACAGGTTCCCTTGCCAAAGGCTGCCGGGCTGCCCTCCCCAGCCTGCGGTTCAGGGAGGACGGGAGCCACCTCTGCTTGAGCAAGGACCGTTGGCGTCTCCTGAGAACGGCTGCCTGCTGAGCGGGGTTTGGG